CCCCACCCCGCTGGCCAACAGCTGCAGCGAGCCCTGCGTGCGGCAGTGCCAGGACTCCACCGTGCTCATCCAGCCCTCGCCCGTGGTGGTGACCCTGCCCGGGCCCATCCTCAGCTCCTTCCCCCAGAGCACCACCGTGGGCTCCTCGGCCTCGGCCGCCGTGGGCAGCGCCCTGAGCGCCGGGGGGGTTCCCATCAGCTCCGGGGGCTCCCTGGCACTGGGGGGCTTTGGCTACCCCGGGCTGGGCGGGGGCTACAACCGGCCCTCCCGGCGCTCCAGCACCTTCCGCGGGGGCTTCTATGGGCCCTGTTAGCTCTGCCTGAGGGACAAGGCGGGAAGGAATCACCAGGAATTCTGGAGCACCACCTGACGCCGGCCTGAGCTCACGGCCACGGTTTGCAGACGTGATGTTGGACACCCACGAGTTCCCCTGGAGCCGCCGGAGCTGTGGGAGCTCTGCACCTCCTCCAACCAGGCCTTCGCTTGTCTTCTGCTGTGCTTTACTTGGTGTTTCTGGTCAAATGTCTTGTCCTGCTTTTGTGTTTGTGTTTGATGACAGGGAAAACACGGAATTGTCAGGAATTGTCCTGCATGGCTGAATTAGTGCAGTTCACTTCACCACTGAAGAAGGAAGATTTCAGGTTGCTGAGTGTGTCACTGTGAGAGGGATGAGTGGGTTCTGTCCTTACTGGACCATAGAAATGTGTTCCTTACCTTTATATTCCATTCCCCAGCCTCATTAAATTTGTGCTGCATCCTACTCCGAGTCTGTCTGTCCTTCTTTCTTCTCCAGCCCCTCATGCCCATTGCCAAAACACAAAAGATGATTTGTCTTTTGTCTGTACATTTTAATTCAAGCCTGACACCCCTTATCAAAGAGTTGGCCTTCACCTGCAATGGGTTGAGACATAAACAGATGATTTATAAAGATGAGATGCTTGGGAAGATCCCTTTAAAAGCAGGAAGAGATGTGGGGTTTGGTCAGGGAAAGGGTGGTGGGAGGGCTGGGGATCCCTCTGAGTTCAGCCTGAGCTTTTTGGTGGGTGCAGCACCTTTTGGCAGCTGAGCTCAGACCCTGGTAAGTCTGGGAGGGGAAGAGGAGAGGGATGTGCAGTGTTCTCACAAGGGAATTGGCCTTGGGAATTTGCTGGCCTGGGAAGCATGTCTGGGAGAAAGAGATTAAAGGACTAAATCTGGAAGATTTTTAAGTTCTAACCCTTTTTTAGTGTCTTTATAACCTGTCTCCTATTTGCTGTGTCTGGCAAAGCTGAGCTTTATCAGGCATTGCTTTGTTCCAATCTGACTGTGTTGGAATAAAGGTTTGGAGACTGGGAGCTTTGGTCCCTGAAGGAAGAAGGTTTGGAAAAGCTTTACCTGAAGGCTCTGGATGACTCACTGTCCTGTCAGCCCAAACAACTCCAGCCTGATCTCTATAAAATGTCTTGCTTGGAGTCTTTGTCTGTCTGTCCAGACTGATGCTGAACTGTAATTAAAGCCAGGGAAAGCTGTTGATGAAGTTGCATTGACTGCACTAATTAGTGGAACTAAATTAAAGGAGGTGAAGGAAGACCATGAAAGAATTAATAATTTTAAGGAGCAGGTTTTCTTAATAAACAACAGAAGCAAATGGAAAGTTTGATGTTCTAATACAGGACAAGGTTGGTCTGAATTAAATGTGTAATATATTTTTTGCCATCTCAACTGAAGTTATTGCTTGATCAAAGGTGATGAATTCCAAAGACGTCAATGGCTGCAAAGAGTTATGAGTAAGGCACTGCAGTGAAAGTGTCTTTAGTGCATTCAGGTGGATATTTCTCATGACCAAGTGCATTTTTCTGCTCTTGCAATTCTCTTCTCATCAATGGAACCAAAGCTCTTCCCAGAGGTAACCCCTGTGAATGCAGATCCCTCCCAAAGTTGGGATGTTTCACTCAGGAATTGTGTCAGAAGGGTCTGATTTGCAGCTCACCTCAAAATGAAAAGCAAAGACAATCCTCAAGCACCATTTCCCCCCTTCACTCCTGTCCCAGACTGCCTTTTTTGGTTAAAATTTGGTGTAGCAACCAGTAAAGAGCACAGTCCCAAAGAAAAGGGTTTCCCTGTTTGGTTTTGTAGTCAACCAGAAAGTGTTTTTCATTCGCTGCTGCAGATTTTGAGCTGGATTATCATGTTACACAGGAAGCTTTCTAGGCAAGCCAAGCTCAGGGGCAGCCTCCCAAGTTGTTTTTGTGTTTTATTTGGAAAAAAACCAAGGAAACACATTCCTTGTTAGCCCAGGGTTTGGTAGTACTGAACAGCAGCATAAAACAGGGCCTGATTTGATCCACGTGCTCTGAACAAAGGACTGTCTCGATCTTCTCTCTCCTGTTTCCTTAACTTGCATCTGCCAATATCCATCCCTGAGCATGGGATGGTTTGGGTTGGAAGGGATTGGAAAGGCCATGGAAAGCCCATGGGCAGGGACACCTTCCACTATCCCAGGTTATTCCAACCTGGCCTTGGACACTCCCAGGGCTGGGGCAGCCACAGCTCCTCTGGGCAACCTGTGCCAGGGCCTCCCCTCCCTCCCTCCTCTCTCAAAGAGCTGGAAAAAGTTGGTGCCATAGAAAAGAAGGGACAGGAGCTGTTTTTGCAGGACCCTGAAGTATTTCCTACTCCTGTCAGTGCAAAGGTGTTTCCATTCCAAATTCTGCAGAGGGATAGAATTGCAAAATATAATCACATAAAAAATGCAATTTAATTACAACCCACCAAACTCTGGAGGCAGAAGTGCAGTGTCTGCTGCGTGCACAGGGAGGAGGGAAGAGGCTTTTACAGCTCCCTCAGGCTGCCTGGGGGATCTGAGCCCTCCCTGCACATTCACCAACCAGCCCCTGCCTGAATTGTGGCTCTGATTTGCATTTGGGCTCCCAGGAGTGAAATTGGGTTGTTTACTGTTTGTGTTGATTGCCTGGACTTCTCCTGGCCATGGAGGGAAACCACGATCCACGGGGCCCCTTTCATGTCTCTGCTTTGCATCCACTGAATATTCCTGACTCCATTCTGCTGACTCCACCTTCCAAAATGGCCAGGAGTCAAAATCCAATTTGCTTAGGAATTTTGTCTGCTCTTTTGCACTTTGGTCACACACTTGGGAGCACCACCTGCTGTCACAGCAGGAGCTTCAATTGGAGTCCTGAGTGTGCAGTTCCATCCCTGATAAGTGACCGTGAGATTTGGGATCACTGACCTCTCTAATATTCCAATGAGCAATATCCCAAAGCTTTCAGCTCCTGGGATGAGAGGACTGAGCCAGCCAGACTAGCTGGACACACAACCACCTTCAGAAGTGGATTTATGATTCCTTTTATCATCTCTGTCCCTTTTGATGAGGGATCCAACTCTTGATGGGTGTCTGTGTGTAAGAGCACTGGGACAACTCTGGGTGATCCTCAGGACAGGAGAACTTCAATCCATGTCAGATGAGATGGGGTCATCCTGTCTGGGGACAGCCAGGGACTCAGGAGTGGAACTGGGTTTTTTGACAGGTGACTTTGTGCAAACACTGATTTGTATCTCAAGTGTAAAATGGAGGGACTTTGGTTTCTGGGGAAGTTTGTGACATTCCTGAGTGATCTTGGTCACCCATTTCAAAGCTGGTCATGTTCAAAGGGTGTCCCATCCTGCCCACTGGCTGATAACTCACCCTTTGCATGTCTGAGCTGTCGATGCAAAGGGTTTGGGAACTTGGGAGACTTTTGTTCTTCAAAAGTGCACAACCAGCACTTATTTCCCAGGAGATGTTCAGGAAGATACTCCCAGTCCAGGGGTTGCTTTGCATGTCTCTGCTTCGGTGATTTAAACATGAGGAGAGCTTGGAATACTGATCCCTGCCCTCGAGTCTGCTTGGGCATTGCCTGCAATTACTTTTGAATCTCAAAATTGCCTTTGAAAAGGAAATGGGATGGTTGCACCTTGCGATGCTCTGGGAGACATGCAAAGGGAAAGCGACAGAATTCGCTTTCAAAGGGAGAAAAAGAACATTACAAACTTCTGTAAGTGAGTGCTGATGATTTGGGGAACAACTTTGCATAATAGTGCAAGGCCCAGTAGGGGAAAGTAATAATTTGATGGCAAATGTAAAACTGTTTGGCGTCTTTAATGACCCCAAAGCTGAGCCTGTGCAAGGCTTTGAGTGTCTCTGACCAGCCTAAAATTCACAGGCATCCCCCATCTGACCTGGATTGTTTTCCTGGGGTTTGATGTAGGAAGTTAAACTGCAGACTCTCAGATGAAGGACTTGGACACTCAGTTCCCAAATTGAGGAGCTGTGTCTCAAATTCCTTCTTGGAAGTGAAGCAGTTTAATATTAAATGAGTAGATCAGATGCTGCTGATACTCTTTCATCCTGCCTCCTGAGTCAAGAAAATAAAATATGTTCCCTCAAATAATCTATTTCCCAGTACCTTTGAGACTGGTGAAGTCTAATCAGCTCTAAGTGCTTTGTGTAACAATTTTATTTCCTATATCTGTGTGGCTCTCTGGCTGTTTGAGGGGAATTTGGCAAACCCACAGTCCAATTCTGAGGCAGAATCAGGAATTTCTGACCTTTTCAGAGTGAAATGTGTCAAAAACTTCTGCTCCCCATGAAGAGGGAAGGGGGATTTCACAGGGAAGTTCCCATCCATCTTTCCTAGTAGATTTATTCATCTGTGTCATCGGTCCTTGGGATGCAAAATAATTTCTTCAGTAGCTCAGATGAATCAGTTCATCTGAGCAGGAATGAACTGGGCTCCCAAGATCTGAAGATAAAAGAAACCTCTCGAGTGGAATGCAAACATTACAGGGAGGAAATTAAACCAAGGCAGGAAATCCAAACAGTGAGGAAAAAGTAAATCACCAGCCAGGAGGATTTTGCATCTGAGAAGTCTTTGGTAATTGGCTGGTAAATGGCACAAATTATGCCTTAGATCCTCAGGCTCTCTGGGCCAGAGTATAAAAGGCAGCACAGTCAGAGGAGCTTCATCCACTTCTGCTTTATTCTCCTCGGTGGAAAGGGTAAGTCTTGATTTGTTTCCTATTTTGTAAAGTCCTGAATTGTTGCCTTCATTGTATTTTATTTTTACACCCTCTTTGTAGCAGTCTGAGGTCTGTGCTCTGTGAGGGGGGGACCACCAAGCAGCTTTTTTTTCCGGGAGAAGGTTGTTGTTCTGTGAAGGTGGAGGTGGTTGGATGCAGGACTTCAGCCTCGCTTTTCATTTGTGTCACCAAATAATTCAGTTCCAAAACGTTCCAATCTCTGCCTGTTATTGTTCAGCGACTGGAAGTGGATGTGGTGAATCTGTGTAGAGATTTTGGCTCTCAGGATAGAATCCCAGAGTAGCTGGGGTTGGAAGGGACCTCTGGAGACCCTCCAGTCCAAGGCAGG